ATATATATTAAAAAAGGGTGGATGGACGAGAGATGTGAGAGGATATCAGAGGGTAAGAAAATGAACAGAAAGGAATATAAATGGAAAGCTAGAGAAGATATTCAGAGATAAGTACAATTAATGAACTAATATGAAACATTAGAAAATCCTATGAAATAACCTTTGATGTGGGAAAATATTACAAAACAAAACAGAATGCTATAGAAGCAAAAGCAGTAGTAACTAATGCTCATATGCCCACCCACACACATACACACATGCACACACACACAAAAGCAGGTTCACTATTCCTCTGTATGGCGCTCTTTATAATGGATGCAATTATTTTCCCTGGACTTCTGCTGTTTGACATCACCCGCTATAAGGAGGGTTGTGAAAATATGTTTTAGCACAAAGTTCTAAGCCTCTGTCTGAGTAGGAGAAACTGTATAGGGCCAACAGGAGGCTGAGCTCCACCCCTTCATGGTTATACATAGATGAATGCTAGTAAGCTTTCCAGTGGTGGCATGTGTCACTCTAAATATCTTCAATATTTTCTGTACCTGGGAATGAGAATATAGGAATAATTTAGGTTTTCTACTATGTCTCTGACTCATGTAGCCTGCGGCAGGTCTGAAGTAAGGGCCCATTTCCAGAAATCACTGACCATGCCTGGCCAGTGTCTACACCACTGTATTTACTCTGAATGTCTCTGATCAGGGCAGAAGTATCTGTGTGCCAGGTGTGTTAGGAGGAGAAGTTGTCAGCATCCAGCCTTCTGCTGGTCTCTGCAGCAGTATTCCCAGGCTCCAAACTACCCTCCCACCACCTCCAAAAGACTCACACAGCTGTATCATTCCACTCAATGTTCAAACAGCAGTTCAAACTGTAGGTCTCTGTTTCTTTTCCTTCTTATGTATTTATTTATGATGGTCCCTTCTGCTTGGTTGAATGTACTCTCTGCTGCCTGGTTTCACCATGCAGCTACCATGCTGAGACTTTCCTAGCCTGGAGTCCTGTCTCCTGCAGCCCAGCCACTGAGAAAAATGAGGATTTTTCTCATCCTCATGATTTTAGTTTTGCTGTATCACAGTCAACATCCTCCTCAGCCCAAGTTGACTCATAGAGAATTTTCCCATTGCCTCCTTCAAGACAAGTGGCTGTTGTGTCCTGGATATTCACAAAATGTGAGGGTGTCTATCCTTCCATGCTACCTTCTGAGGCAAAAGGAGTTATTTAAGATCACTCCCCATCCTGGCATAAAGTCAGCAGAGAAATGTTGGGAAATTATAGTTCCTGTCCCTGGTCACTTAGCTGAACTCAAGTCAGCTATCTGTTCAGGCTGCATATCTTTCAGTAGCCAAGTCAGAATTCATAAGCATGTGATGAGGTTTTCCCTTACTTTCCCTCCCCCTCTGAGCCATTCATTCAGTGCTGGTATGCATACTTAGAATAACTCAAGCTTTTCTCCTCTTTCCAGATTCTCGGGGGAATATTGTGACCAAAATGGAAAATAACATAATGTTTTATTCCAAGAGTAATACTGAAGATGCACTAAAGCTACATTTATGGACAAGTGACACAATAAAATCATCATTCTGTGTTAGTGCATCTGCTCAAGTATATCTTGTATATGTTTTTGACAATGGGACAATACAACTACAGGAATATCCGTTAATGCTGGAATTACAAAGTGTAGCTTTCAAAATGAAAGAAAAATGCCCATACATGATGTTTCATGATAATGTTTTAGATTCTTTTTACTTTTTGGACAAAGGAGACAGCCTGAGAGTTTGGGTTGAAATTATCTATCCAGAAAACACTGGTCTTGATATTATTGTGAAAGTCTATGGTCCACAAATATTAGAATATGAAGAATCCTTTCATTATGAAGTTGCCTCAGGATACTGCACTAACACCCTGGTATGTTAATGTACATTTCTTTCTTTGATTGTAATGAATATAAAAGTATAATGTTCAATGTTTATATTTTAATGCATAGCTATCTGTTGTAAGTTTAGCTGGGAAAATACTGAGGATGGTGTGAGTTTTTAAATAAATTAGAATATGATAAGCCATTAATTCCTGAGGAAGAGAACAGAGGCCATATACAGTCCCCAAGTTCGTGACCCACAACCCACCCAGACACCCCCAGAAATGTGCTTGATGCCTCTCAACCCAATCCAGTTGACAGTCAAGATTAACCATCTCAGGCTGTTATAACAAAAATAGCTTAAACTGGTTGCCTTATAACTATAGAAATTTATTTCTCATAGTTTTTGAGGCTGACAAGTCCAAAATCAAGGTACCTGCAGGTGGCATCTATCTGATGAGGGCGTGCTTTCTCATAGGCAACATCTTTTTACTGTGTCTGCACAGACACACTAGGCAAGGTATATCACTGAGGCCTCTTTTATAAGAGCACTAATCACATTTATGAGGCACCGCCCTCATGACCTAATCATCTCCCAAAAGCCCTCCCTCCCAATACCATTAAATATGGGATTAGGTTACAACATATAAATTTTAGAGGAACACAAAGATTCTTACCTTAGCGCTGCTATTTAATAACATGTATAAATATTACAAATACATATGATACACACACATCACAAGCCCAAAGCCAGGTGTGGTGACACACTCCTGTTTTCTCAGCTGTTCAGGAGGTTGATAAATGTGAGTCACTTGAGCCCAGAAGTTTGAGGTCAGCCACGGCAACATAGTAAGACCCTCTCTCCAAAATTAAAAAAACACTAGTCGCTCAAAAGCATTGTACATATTATAAAAATACAAAATATCCAAAAAATATATATATCAATGTATTTAATATATGATATAGGTGTCTCCTGTGGAAGGAAAAATGGGGGAAAATAAAATGTAATATATAAAACAACACTGGAAGGTGTGCCAAGACATAGGGATATACTTAACTCATGGTTTTCATTTTAAAAATTGGAAAATACACACACACACACACATCTGCAATTCAGCTCTTCAAAATATAGCTATCATCAAAATATATAAATTACCAATGAAAACATCAAAATTTGCATAATAAAATTTATAATAAAATAGTGCATCTGTTATTTAGTATCCATGACGTTAAGCAAGTTTTAAAATTTCTTGTTTTCTTAATTCTATCCTCTGTAAACTGGGGATGATAATAATAATAATATCTACCTTATAAAGTTCTTATAAACTGGGGATTTAGCTCAGTGGTGCTGCCATCTGCCTCACAAGTGCAAGGTCCTGAGTTTGATCCCCGATACAAAAAAAAAAAATTAAATGAGGAGATAAGTATGTAGCTCAGTGGTAGAATACTTGCCCAGCATGCATGAGGCCCTGGATGCAATTGAATTCAAAACAAAAAAGGATTAAATGAGTTAACATATGTAAAACATTTAGAAAAATATCTGCCACATACTATTATGGCCTGTATCTAGATGGCCCCCGAAAGTCTCAGGCAGTCATAGGTGGGGCTTTTCAAAGGTGGGGTGGACCTAGGGTGTGTGCTGCTGGGATCAAGGATGTGATGCTGGAATTGATTCATGGTGTGATGCTAGGATTAAGGATATGAGTGCTACCTGCCCTAAACATATGAGAGACAGGAAGAGGGGCTGCTGTTGTCACTTGCTGAATACAGCTTGCTGCTTCTGCTGCCTTCTGCCTGCAGAGAACTGTTTTTGGTTTTTGTTGGTTTTTTTTTTTCTCTGTGATGCCCCTCTGCCATGCCACCCTGCCTTGGAGCCAGTCAACTGTAGACTGAAGCCTATGAACTGTGAGCTAAATAAACCTTTCCTCCTTTAACTATAGGTGTTGTGTATTATGTCTCACCAATGAGAAAAGTAACCAAGACAGAATTTGGTACTAGGAGTGGGGTTGTTGTTGAGACTATTCCTGGCCATGTGGTTCAGGAGCCTTTGGAACTGGCTTGTAGAAAGAGTTTGAAAAGTTTGGAAAATTCCAGCTGAAAAAGCAGCCCTGGAAGGCCTTAAACTGTACTTGATGGGCGATTCTGGTCAGAGTTTAGAAGACCAGAATGCTGATAGAAATGCTGGCAGTGAAGACCAAGCTCCGGAGGTTTCTTCTGGAAGAAGATTGGATTGGCCGTTGGGCTCCAGGCAATGTGTGTTATACCTTGAAATAAAGTTTGTCTGTGTTTTCTCATGTCCAGAGACTTTACCTGTGACTGAGATCAAAGGCAGTGGAGTAATTAATCTGGCAGAAGAAATTTCAAGGCAGTCTAATGTTGTGGCCATGGCATGACTACTGTTGGGTGCTTTTAGCCAGATTTACATTGAGAATCAAGAGCAAAGAGCCCAGCAGAATGATTTAAAACATTTTGAGTTTGACCGGAATGGAAGCTCCAGTAAAGTTGCAGCCTGCAAAGATGGAACAGAGGAGAAATTGAAACAGACTAGCGAGAGAGAGAGAGAGAGAGAGAGAGAGAGAGAGAGAGAGAGAGAGAGAGAAGCCAAGTCTTTCAAAAGAAGACAATGGCAAAGATGTCCTGAAGGTATCTCAAGAACCAGCATGACTCCAGCCTTTGAAGCCTCACAGTTATAAAGGTGAAAGAATTTGCTTTGAGAAGAAAACCCCAGAGCACAATATTCCAGAATGGCAGCGGCTTAGAGAATTTGCTCCTCGGGATTGGGTACAGAGTGCTGAATGGTCCAGAAACTTGACCCCTATATCCACGACAGAAGGAAGCCTGGCTACTGCTCTAGCTGGCAGCAAACCCTGGCATCCTTCACATGGTGCTGCTTGTAGGTGCGTGCAGAATGCATGTTGTGGGACCAGGAAGGTCTCCACCCAAATTTCACAGGAAGGCCTGGGAGTAGTGTGCCCATGAGAAGGCAGTTTGTGAAGCTCTGAGTATGAAGCTGCAGGTGCAGTGGAAACCCCAGAAGGTTGAAGAAGCCAGATTCATGAATAGTTTGAGGAAAGCTGCAAAGAGTGAGCAAAGCTGGCCAAAGAGAGAAGCCATGAGAGCTACAACCACCAGCAGTCCTGTAGGGGTGGAGCCCCCCAGGCCCTTAGTAATTCACAACTTGTCACAGATTTCTGAGGCTGCTGGACATGGAGCGATGGGATTTAATGTTTGCCCTGCTGGATTTTGTTTTGGCTTTGTTCCCATTCCTTTTTATCCTCCTCTTTGTGCCTTTTGGAATGGAGCTATCTATCTTGTGCCATTGTTATGTTGGATGTGTTTAACTTTCTTTTCATTGGTACAGGTGCTTGCAGCCAAGAGCTTGCCTAAAATCTCAGAGACTTTGGACATGGGCTTTTCAGCAATGCCAAAACTATTAGGACTTTCTCAACGCTTAGAGAGAAACTATGCCTTTTGCATAAAGGGATGTACGTGTGTCTTTGGGGGACCAGGGGTGGAATATTATGGCTTGTATCTAGCTGCCCCTAATGCTTCATGGAGTCACAGGCGGGGCTCTGCAGAGGTGACTGGACCTAGGATGTGTGATGTCGGATCAGGGATGCGATGCTGGGATTGATTTGTGATGCGATGCTAGGATGGAGGGTGTCAGTGCTCCCCCCGCCCCATGGTAGGTAGCCTGGATAAAATGCAAGAGACAGAAAGAGAGATGCTGTTCGCATCACTTGATGTTTGTAGTTTGTTGCTACTGCTGCCTTCTGCCTGCAGTGAACTGGTTGTTTCTCCTCTATGATGCCCCTCTGCCATACGCCGCCCTGCCTTGAAGCCAGCTGATTATGGACTGAAACCTCCATAAACTGGGAGCTAAATAAACCCTTCCTCCTTTAACTTTGGGCGTCAAGTACTTTGTCTCAGCAATGACGAAAGTAACAAAGACACATGGTAAGCATTATCTGTGTGCACTAGTATTCTATCATTACTACCACCATATCTCACCAATTCTAACATCTCTGAAATCAAGATGTTGTGCATTCCATGGTATATTCAATTTGATAAATTACTGTATTGTTTTCACAACTCTTTACTTAATCCTACAATTGGGTTAGTATAACCTCACCCTAATTATTGACTAACACGATGCTAAGTATCATTAAACATTCATTTTTTAAAAGAATGCAACACCTATATAATACATAAAATATGTATGCATAACTTAGCAAATTATTACACATGTAATCACCATTCAAGTAAAAAAATAGAATCCTAGGCATATCCAAGGCCCCGTGTGCCTTCCCTGATCAGAATATTCTCCCTCTCCCAAAAGCTAAACACTAGTATGACATTTGTTAACACTGATTTCCTTGGTTTTCTTAACCACCAAGATATGCATCACTAAAATGTACTTTATATTTGTCAATTTTTGAACTTCATATGAATGAAATCATATATTACAGAATATATATAGATATACATACGTTAGTATATACATACATGTATTTGTGTCTTTTTATTCAATATTATGCTTTGAAAGTCCATGTAATTAATTTGTATTTGCTACTCTATAGTATTATTTTCTGTGAATGCACTATAATATACATTTTCCATTTTACTATTGATAAAGAGTAGATTGTTTCTATTTTGAGTGCTATTCTGAATGATGGTACAATAGATAGTTTAGTATAAACCTCCTAATAAACACACATTAATGTTTCTATGGGATCCAATTGCTAACTTTTTCATGAGACTCAGTGAAATTTAATTTATAATGTGATTTTTAAATTTTATCATGAAAAATTTCTACCACACGGAAAACTTTACATTTAATCTCTCTATATCAACTACTTAGATTCTACACTGAAACCTTATCATACTCATTTTATTACACATCTATGCATCTACCCATTCACCAATCAGTCTTTCTCTTATGCATTTTAAAGTAAATCTCAGGCGTCAGTAAACTTTATCTAATATTTCTAGATACACTATAACTCAATCATTTGTTGAGTCTTTTCTCTCTTTTTCATTAAGTTTATTGTTACATTTAAAGCAAACAATACAGTTACAGTCATCATTGGGATCTTGTACCTTTACAGGATATATCTTGGTTCTTGTTTTCTCCCCATACCCTTGCCTCCCTTCACCCCCCCTCACCCTTTCTTGAGTCTTTTCTTTCAAGTTAAATATATGCATACACATAAAACTCTCACATATATTCGCTGTTTGGACAAATATTTGTGTCACCCAAATGCCTATTATTAAGGAGCATGTTATCAATCCATAAAGTTCTCAGACCCCTTCCCAGTCAATCTCTGTCCTCGTTTCCTAGAAACAGCTCTTCTGATTTTTTTCCACCGCAGATTAGTTTTGCCTTTTCTAGAACTCCATGGAAATAGAATTACACAATAAAACGCTTTATACATTCAGCATATTTTTGAGATTCACCCATGTTGCTGTATCAGTAATTCACTTCCTTCAGTTATTGTATATTTCATTTTGTGAATATACCTCAGTTTACTTGCCTATTCTCCTTTGGCTGGATATCTGGACCCTTGCTTTTTGGAGTTATTAGGAAAAGAGATACAATGAATGGTCACTCATAAGCCTTTTCATAAACATATACTTCCATTTCTCTTGAGTAGTACTGTAGTGCAATGGCTGGATGATAGAGCAGGAAAAAGCTAAAAGAAACTGCTGGACACTTTTCCAAAGTGATTATACCACGTCAAATCCCCATCGCGAATGTACGAGGGTTCCTTCGAGTAGGTAGATCATGCTCCCTGTCACCCAGCAACAGCTGTTTCCTGCCACCTGGCCGAAAGCACTACTCACCGGCTACCTTTCCCGTCACCCGCCATCTGTGCCATCTTTTTATTTTAATGCTCCTGAATTGTTTGAGTTAGCTTCATATTCTGGGTTTTAGTCACTTATCAGATGTATGCTTTGCAAATATTTTTTCCTAATGTGTGGGTTGTCTCTTTACTCTTGTTTCCTTTGCTTTGCAGAAGTGTTTTCTTTTCTTTTTTTTTCAGTTTGATACAGTCCTATTGTCTAGTTTTGCTTTTATTGCGTGTGCTTTCATTTTATTGAAGAAATTATAGCCCAGACCGATGTATTTTCTTCTGGTAGTTTTATAGTTTCAGGTCCTACATGTAAGTCCTTAGTTCATTTCGAGTTAATTTTTATACAGGGGAATAATTTCATACTTATTTATGTATGTGGATATCCAATTTTTCCAACATCACTTATTGAAGAGACTGTCCCTTCCCCATTGTACATTCTAAATACAGTTCCTTTTACAATTGATTGTAAGTGCATGGGCCTTCTATCCTGTTCCATGGGTCAATGCATCTATTTTTATTACAGTACTATGATATACACAATATAAATTATATATGTGATATATGACATGTATATGATGCATATGACATGCATGATGTATATGGCATGATATATCTGGTATGATATGCACCTTTGTTAAACTCAGTTATTTCAGGCTGTTTTGTGATAAATGCCTCCATTTTTACATATATGATCACATCATCAGTATATAGTATATTCCTTTCTGGTCTCTGGGCCTTTTTTCTTTCCTTGTTGCTCTACTTTGAACATCTAGGACAGTGTTGATTAGAAGAAATAAAAAGGGCGATCCTTGCCTTCTTATCAATTGGAGAGAAGGAATTCAGATTTTCATAACTGTGTTTTGTTTCATATTTAATATAACTACATCAACTTCCTTTTTATTTTCCCAGTATTTCTTTTAATTTTAACCTTTCATTTGCCTTATGTTTTAAATGTGTTTCCTATGTGCACTAATTACTGGTATTTTTAAATTTTGTTTGGGTTTTGGTTTGGTTTTTTTGCACCCCCCTTGACTTTTTTGTTTGTTAGGTTTTTTGTTTTGTTTTGTTTTTGTGCTGATGATCAAACTTGGGTCCTTGCGCTTACAAAGCAGGTGGCAGAATCACTAAGCTAAATCCCCAGCCCGCCCTTGGCTTTTAATCGGGGCATATAATCCATTTGTATTTAATGTAATTAATGGTATATTTGAGGGATATCTTCTATTTATTTGTCACTCTAATTTTTCAATCTTTTTTACTTTTTTATCCTTTCTCTTCTGTTGGTTTAGCAGTGTATTTCTAGTCAGATTTCTTTAGATAATATTACATGAATAACTTACACAAATCTAAATTTAATTAAATATCTTATCTTATTCCTTTTCCAATTCATATGTTATTATGCTTACTTCAGCACATATACCAATTCATATGTTATTGTAGTCACAGCTTTTGATTCCATCTTGTTTTTACACTAGGAGGTAATATTAGTATATTTTTATATAGCAATGTGTGTTTACCCTATTTTATCTTATTTTTTAAATTTGAATGTCCCCATCCTGTATTTTTTTTTCCTTCTGCTTTAGGTACATCCTTTAACACATCTTTTAGTGAAAGATTATTAAATACTCAATATTTGTTTGTCTTAAAATATCTTTATTTTACCTTAATTTTTTTAATCTTCATGCCTAAGAAACATTTTTCTGGATATAAAACTCTAGGTAGATTATTTTATTAAGGCACATTAAAAGCTGGGCATAGTGGTACACATCTGTAGTCCCAATACTCAAGAAGCTGAGGCAGGAGGACTGCTGTGAGTTCAAGGCCAGGCTGGGCTGCATATTGAGTTCAAGGCCATCTTGGGCCACATAGTGAGACCCTGTCTCAAAATAAACAAACAAACAAACAAACAAATAAATGAAAAACAAAGCACATTAAATAGTTTCATAATGCAGCTATTATCAGTAGAATCAGTATTTTATAGTCTAAAATAATATGCATATATGTAGGTCAAACTGCAAACTCAAGTCTGAATACCATTTAAGTGGCAACAATGATCAAAGCTTGGAGACTAAAGTTATTTTTTACGAAACGTTACATAAAACTTTTAGATCCTAACCATAAGCAACAGCATTCTAAAAAAGCTATTTTTTACCATTACATATTAAAAAAAAGGATAACATAAAATACAACACAGGAGTAAATCTTTTCCCTGCTACAACTATTTTTAATTTAATGAATGTCACAGCTGCTGACTAACTTTGTAAAAAGATTGTATATTTTGTGCTATATTACTTAGCATTTGGCACCTTATCTCCTAAGTTTTTGTCACTATCTTTAGAGGAACATAGTTTGTTTTAATCAAAATGGCCTAGCTGAACCAAGTTTAAGTGATCTCTCTCTAGAGGCTGTAAATTTATAGCATACACAAACACACAACTCCCAAACAGCAATATAGGGCCATAAAGATTGTACTTACTATACTTTGAAAACACAGAGCTTATAATTTTCTGTCTCTACTGTCAGGTGTGTTCTGTAAATGGCTGAGGGCAACCTTATGGGATACTGAAGTAAAACATGTCCCAGAGAGAAGAAAATAGCAAGGACTTATGCAAAATGTGGATGAGTGTTTTTGATAGTTGCTCAAAGCAACGGTGGAAAAGTTCAGACAAGTAATTCTACATAGTCTCAAGTTTACAGACAATGTGATAACTGTAATCAAGCAAGAAATTTTAAGAGGTTCAGAAGCAAGGATAACAAAAAACAGAAGAAAGTTAAAAGTTCTCTAGGCTCAGGATATGACAAAATAAAAATAAGAATATTGCAGTTATACAGTCAAATGAGGAGCACGATAAGAGAAATACAAATAAAAAGATTAAGATGATATAAAATTAAAGGGGAAAATAAAAAATGTCACAAAATTATGTAGATATAATTATTTTTTGTGAAATATAAAAGAAATTTGAAAAAATGTTAAGAATATACTTTGTTTTACTTAAAGATATGAATGTCTTGAAAGTATATATTGTGTCCTAGGAAAATGTGATTTACAATGATCAATTTGTTCAATATCTCAATGAAGTTATTTTATGTACCTGGATGTGGAAAGACAAATATCACTAAAGTTGGGTCCCCCATGCCCAATCTTTCTGCTTTTCATAAACTTTAATTTTCTTTTTCAGACAATGACTTTTTATTCAAATGTCAATTATGAGGGAGTAGATGATTATTTCAACTTTGAGTAAGTATGACTTTAAAAAGAACTTCTAAATATAGTGCTCAGGTTACTAATGTGTAGGTATTTTTATTTTAATGGCTTCATTATCTTTTAAATTTCCAAATTTCAAAATGAGGATAGATGTGAAATTAGTATTTAACTGTATAAAAATGTGAAATCCCTCTTGTAGTCCAAGAGAAAATGGCCTATCAAGGTTGTCATTCACCGTGATGAAAAGGCAAACAAGGGGCTTGCATTGCTTCAGCTCTCTGCCTAGAACAAACAGCTGAGCCATTACCTCATGACAGAGAAAAAGTTGATTTTGGCTTGCTTTGGAGGTTCAAGTTCATGACAGGGTGGTTCTGATGCTTTTGGCACCCTGCCAAGGCAGCACAGGTTGGCAGGGCATCTGTGGTAAGCAAATCCCTCATCCAGTGAGGCAAGCAGCAAAGAGGAAGTGACTGGTCACAAATCTCCTCTGCAAGTTCACCTCCTGTGATTTGGAGACCTCTTCGAAAGGTTCACCGGCTCCCAGTAGCACCATCCTTGAAACCAAGCTTTAAACATATAGTCCTTTGGGGGATACTTATCCAAAGCAAAGCAAGGCTATTTCTCAATTATCCAAAGGCTATTTCTTCATTCAATAGTCTTCACATGTTTTATCATTATTTCCAGTCTCAGTGTCTCTACAGTCTATCCTTCAGCAAAAGCAAGAACTCTAATGGGTTAGTCAGCTTTCCGTTGCTATGATGAAATACCTGAGATGAACAATTTAAAGGAGAAAAGTTTGATTTGGGTTCCAAAGTTTTAGTCCACGGACACTTAATTCCATTTTTTCAGGACTGTGGTGAGAAAATATTTCATGGCAGAAGAGTGTGGCAAATAAAAGCTGCTTGCTTCATGGCAGCCAGGATGGAGAGAGAGAGTGACAGAAAGACAGAGACAAAGAAGAGAGGAGAGAGAGAGAGGGAGAGGGAACAGGGACAAAATACAGTCCCCAAGAGCATGCTCCCAAAGACCCACTTCCTTCAGCTAGATCCCACCTCCAAAGTTTCCATAGCTTCCAAATATCCAATCAAATTATAACCCACCAGTGGATTAACCCATTGATGATGTCAGAGACCTCATCATCCAATCATTCCCCAAAAGCCCCACCTCTAAACACTGCTGCATGGGGACCAAGACACCAACATATGAGCCTTTGGAGTACAGTCCAAATCCAAACTATAACATGTAACATCATAGAAAGTCTTTATGAGCAAAGTCAGATAAAACACCATCTTTGACTCTAGGACAAGGTAATAAATATTGAGGCACTTAATTTCTGGAGGCACAACCTATGTGTATTAGTCAGCTCTTCATTACTATAACAAAATACCTGACATGGGCCACTTTTGAAGAAGAGGAGGTTTCTTTAGCTCACAGTTTCAAAACTGAATGTCTGGACAGTAGAGCACAGGCTTGTTGAGAGCCACTCCTTGTCTGCTTCATGTCATAGCAGATAGAAATGGTGGGAGTACAAGTAGGAGCAAGCAGATTACATCTGAAGAAGGAAGCAGAGAGAGCTGGGTGGGACCTGGATTGCTCGTTTAATGACAACTCTCCAGCAAGAGTCACCTCAGGCCCTCCTGATCTAAGGACTTCCCACAAGGCCCATGCCTTAAAAGCTGTATGGCGCCTTCCAGTTTTACCTCCTGTCAACCAAGCCTTGAATTACATGAACCTCTGGGGTGTGGGGACACAATTAAACCATACCCGAATCATAGCACTACGTGAAGGTGTTTTAAGATTATCATTATGACCTCACAATATTTTTCAGAAAAGTAGCATTTTGGCCTAGGAAAATAAATCTATTTTTGTTTCATCTGCCACTATTCCAAGCGCATTTGAGTACCCACTGTATACCAAGCACTCTCTAGAATTTCAAAATAACAAGAAAAGAGTAAGTATAAAAAGGATGACACACTAGTGTCATGGAACATATCTCCAGTGGGAAATGTCAAGTAATCAAATAAATGAGATGATGCCAACTACTGATAAGTGATATTAAGAAAAGAAAACTAATATATTACAACAGTGACTAGGAAGAATAAGAAAATGATTCTGCAGACCGCAGCAGGAGAGGTACAATCTCCCGACACCTGCCAGCTTTTCTCCTTATCTTTCTAATGACATGAGTTCCTTTGGGAATTTTGGCCTTGTTAGATATTTACTGAGAATTATGTTTCTGTAGAGTGCACATCAAATCACCTAGGATATTTTGTTTTGCTTTTCCCCAGTTTTTTTTTTCAAAAAGTAAAACCAGTTTTTCAAAAAGTAAATAGCAGATGGAGTGTGAATCAAGCTTTCAAAACTTGCTGTTTCCAGCCCTGTCACTTAGAACAAGAATGATCCGTGAGCACTGAACAGTTCAGGAAGGTGTTGTCTGACCTTTCTCTTCATTCCAGTGAGATCACATGGTGCAGCTTAGTGGGGTCCAGAAAGCTAGTTATGCTTCGTACTTCCAAAGGTGTATCAACAGCAAGGGAGATGTGTAGGGGCTGGGGGAAGAACTGACACAGTGGGCCCTACCTTGTGATACCATCCAGAATAGGCAGGTCAGGTGTCAGCACAGAACTTGAACGGACGAGGAACTGGGTGCTCATGAAATAGAGGGAAGGAGGTTTGAAATGCTGATAGGATACTCATTTCTGTCTCCCCCACTGTAGCAATGATACAGTGGCCAAAACTTGGGCTACAAGAGGTGGGCCCCCACTTTAAGGACGACCTTGGTGCAGAGCTGCTTTCGCAGAAGCAGCCAGCCCTTACCACCATGGCCTCTCGGATTCCTCAGGGGTTCAACCATGTCGTGCACATGCAATTTTGCTCTACAGAAACAGAGTCTACTCGTGTCTACTGCCGTCACCAGTCTAAATAACCGGTGTGGACTGTTTTCCCTAGATACAAGAACATGGGTAATGTATTCGTTCAACTTCGGCCTAGTCAACATTCAAACGTATGTCCAGTGACCCAGAAGGTAAGTGACTTGGGCAGTGGCAAACAGTAATACAGTGCTCCTTTCCTCTACTTAGTAATGCCTCGCCATAGAGATACTATTCTTTTATTTTGAAAACAGAAAGCGGAATTCCTGTTTTCTGTAAGTTTAAAGTGGGATTTACTTGCCCATATAAAAATATAAAAATGATTAGTTTTTAAATTCTGAAGATAAATCAAACCATACAAAGAAAAACTGAAATTAGTTGGAACAACTCAAGGTTGGCATGGTTTGTCAAAGAACTGCCAGTCATGTCCCTATCTGTCCTGCATTTATTCAAAGGGATTCAGTCCTTTATTCCTTTAAAAATGTACAGTATTGCCGGGGATTTAGCTCAGGGGTTCCAGCGCCTGCCTCACAAGCACAAGGACCTGAGTTCAATCCCCGGTACCAAAAAAATAAATAATAAAATGTACAGTATAGGGCTGGGGGTTTAGCTCAGTGGGGCCACTGCCTTTCTCACAAGTGCAAGGTCCTGAGTTCAAACCCCAGTACCAGAAAATATGTATATATACAATATGCCTATTACATTTGTGTTTCAGCCTGTGTGCTAGGTAACAGGAGTTATGAAGATGAGAAGGTTCCTAGAGGCAGACACAAGTTAGCTTAAAGAAATGTGGTGTACACAGTTACCAAATAACCCAGAAGAAAAGGTGTACGATTTTGTTTGGGAACCAAAATGTGAAAAGAAAGTGATACATACAATGAGTATTGATGAACAAACAGAAGTCCAGGCCTGTGCAAAGGAAATTTCAGGACAAGGTACAGACAAAAGCAGAAGCGGATGCATCACCGTTGGGTTCAGAACCTCTAAGTGTTGTGAATGTAAACACAAACTAGTAACAACCCCACCTCCCTTGTGTCTGGGAGCCACGTGAAGGGATGTCTCTTCTCAGTACTCCTCCTCGGCCTAACGAACATTCAGGAAACAGATACTGAGCACTGAGCCAGGCTTTGTGCTCTATGGAGGGAACACAGAGTATTCCAGTAGGAAACCAGCACAAGGAGCCTGCTCCTGCCAGGGCAAGAAGCCTGCAGTCTCACAAGTTCCTGTCCCAGCCCAGATCTGTGTTTTCTGCCTCCAGGTGCTCGACCTATTCATTTATGGATTACCCCTACCCTTCTCTAATCTATAGGGTCATGAGGGATCCCTATCCAGCCCCACACAGGCATCACACAGGCAGGCAAGTTCATCTAAACTGAGTGCAGATCCCACTCTACCACTCCCTGGCTTGGGCAGGACTCCTAAACACTCAGGCTCACCTGCGTCCTTTGTAAAAGGAAGAAATGCAACATCTATCTCATGGGATTGTTGAGAGTGTTGAATGAGATCATTTATGAAAAGTATCCGAAAAAATTATGCTTGTCACAGAGTAATTATATGACATTACTGTTTTTCTCCTTCTGTTTCCTCTATGGAAACTCCCCAGCAAGGATAGTTTCACTCTAATTCCCTGTGGGCCCACTGCAGTTGGCTCTGACCTCTCTACTGAAATCTAACGCAGAAATGTGCAGTAGCCCGTTTAGGCAATAGGGAACCAAAGTCTTGTAGACGCAGATCTTTTTGTTAGCCAACAAAAGCAAAACCTGTACACAGTGACAGAGTACGCTCTCAGCCACAGGGTCCTTTCCTTGTACTCCCACACTCATGGGCAAGCAAGTTGTCGGCCTCTAAGGTAAGTAGGAGAAACACAGGTCCCAACTCTGTTCTTACACAGAATCATCACCCACCGTTTTCATCAGTTGCATGAATTTAGGCCCTTGGTAAACCTGCTAGGAGCCTGCTGTCTTGGTCACTTGGTCTACTTGACTTCCAGCTGAGCAGCAAATATAACTGGCCACTCCAACAAAGCTATGTCTCTCTTTTTAACCACATACCAAGAATAGAAAATACAGATGTAGAGGCCAGTCCCAGAGTCCTTAGTAATCCTTTCCAAGATGAGTTTCCTAGGAAGGGATGACTGTAATTCTACCAACATTTCTGTGGTGAGTCATTTCAACTCCTGTCTTCCCCAGACTAGCAAAAGCAATCCTGGGCAGTAAGAGGAAAGCAGGAGGCATCATAATCCTGGATTTCAATTTTTATTATAAAGGTACAGTGACAAAAACAGCATGGTACTAGCACAGAAAATAGACATGTGGATCAATGGAACTGAAGTGAAGACGGAGAAACAACCTCAGTCATTTTTCAACCATCCAATCTTTGACAGAAGTGTCAAAAACACAGGACAGAGAAAAAGCCTCTTTAACAAGTGATGCAGGGAAAACTAGTTATCTACATGTAACAGAATGAAACTGGACCCATATCTCTTTAATCAAAACCAGGATTAAAAATGACAGAGAAGAGACCAGCAGAAAAATACAGCCTCTTAGGAACCCTGGAATCAAGATGCCTGAAAAACAACTTGAAGACAAGAAGAGAAGTAGATCGGGCCAGGGATTTAGTTCAGTGGTTCTGCCACCTGCCTCACAAGCTCAAGGATCTGAGTTCGATTCCAGATACCAAAAAAAAGAAAAAGAAAAAAACAAAACAAAAAAACTGTCATTCAGACTCAGTGGTTCCACTGCCTGCCTCACAAGCACAAGGGCCTGAGTTCGATCCCTGGTACCAAAAAAAAAAAGTAGATGTCCAGGAATCCAGAGGAAGTTGAGAGGAAAACAAGAAACTATAGAGAAGCTGGTGAATAGAGCATAACACAGAGAAAAGAACAAGGTGATCTGAAAGGCTCACCCTGGCTCCTGGGGAAGAGACTTATCTCTGTCAACACAACGTAAGCCCACAAAGAGTCAGCAGCTCCAGGAAGACAATGGACTGAGCCAGCAGTGCTAGCCCCAAGAAAGCCCAGAGCTATGGTAAAATGCAAAAACAGCATGGGGTTTTACTCTGGAAGTGACTACTTCACATGGCAGGGTAGTGTTAGAAAAGAAATCCAGTCCAGCCCTGTCCATATCTGCGTGGGTTTAATCAGGAACCATTTTGGAAAGGGGTTAAGTGTTTAAGGCTACAGAACTACAGAACTACAGAACAACTACTTAACAATTACACTTCAGGTTTCTGGTGTCACCCTTCCACGGAGTGGGAGATGGCCGCAAGAGACAGTGCGGGAGACGATATGAGCTAGACAGAGGGCCCCTGAAAAGTTTAATCTCAGGCCAGGAAGGACACAGGGGCCCCACCCTCTGTGGTGAGAAGCCAGGATGGTTGTTTGTGGCTCTCAGAGGGGACTGGGTCTGACAGTGCTGTCACCAAGTCCAGTGGTCTGCTTCAACCCCCACCCGCACCATGCTGTCTTTATCCAGCACCGAGCTCAGTGATGTTTGCTTTCCCCGTCTACCAACACGAGCAAGAATATGCTTCAGTTTGGACAGATGCTGCAGCCTGAAGTTTAAGGACAGAGAGGCTCCTGGAGCAGGATGCTGGCACCTCACACACCCACGGGCCCTAAAGCTGAGTAGAGAAAGCCTTGACTTGGGGTGCACAGAGGGACACAGAAACTGGGAGCTGCTGGAGTGACTATGGCCTTATGGAGGACACCGTTGACTAGCCACACCCTGAGAAAAGCAGAGCTGGATTCAGCACTCACACACAAAAATGTGAACATGGAAACAAAGTAGGACTTAGCAGTGACTCACTATCTAGTGGGTTTCAAAACTGCAGATCCTAACCACTCATTCATAAACACAGAGGATTTTTTTTTTTTGAGACAGAGTCTCACTATATATTTCACTCTGAGCTAGGCTTGAACTCACAGCAATCCTCCTGCCTCAGCCTCCTGAGTACTTGGGTGCTGGGTGTGCAATACTATGCCTGGCTTATGAAGGAATTCTTTTTGGTCTCTTTTTTTCTTCATGTAGGAGTAAAGAAGTTCTTTTTTATTTTTTTCTTTGTTTTGCTGTTTTTCTTTTTTCTTCTTTCTCTTGTTTGTTCTTTTAGTTCCTTTTATCTAATTACATTAATAGGATCTTTTCTCTCACTTTTCTCTCCTTATCTTCCTTTTCTTTATTTTTCAAACATCTTTTATTCACCTGTTCCCTACTCCCTCCATCTTTACTGGTATAACCATTAAGCTCTATTAATCTTTAAATATTTAGTTCATTCTACGCTATTATTGTTGAATCCTTTTCTATTTTTATATGGGGATATAGTTGTAGATACGTCAATATTTGGTTTGTCTTTGTGTTTGTATTACAAGTATAGATCTCTTGTCTATGGTTAAGGGTGATACAGGGGTAGCTTTTATTTTCTTCTAGTCTGTCAATATTCAGTTTGTCTTTGACTCTATTATTGCTGCTAATAGAAGATGGCATGGTATATTTGTTGCTATGAATTGGTTTTTACCATATGCCAATTCTGGCTTTTCTTTGTGTCATCAACAATACTGAAGTTCACATCTGGAGAACTAGGTGCTGGGCCAATTACACTGTACCTTCGCCTCCCAAATTATTGGAGGTTGGATCTTGGAACAGAGGCAAAGGCCTATGGTTAGCCACACCCAGAGTACATCAGTGAAGAGCAGCACTAACTAAAGAGCTCTCAGAACTGCACAAAAAATGGAAACATGAGAATACAAGGTAACAAAATTCCCCCAAAACCTCCCAGCTCCCCCACAGCTGATCACTGGGGAAAAAAATGAACTCAGCTAAACTACGTGAAATGATAAAAGAAGAGGCAAAAAAAAAAAAAACAGATCAGTAGGTGCTTGGTAAGCTCAAGGAAGATATAACTAAACAGATGATGGATTTAATTTAAAAAATGGTCAGCTTTCAGAAGATGCTGATAAAAAGCTAGCTGAACCAAATAAATTGATGCAAAACTTGACCAACCAGTGAAAATGCAACAAATGGAAATCCAGAAGATTTAAAATTCTGTTGAAAATATGGACAACAGAAGTGACCAGTGTGACGAAAAACTGCCAGAACTACAAGACAGGGTTGGTGCAGCTCCCCTGTACTCAGAGATACTGTAAAAACAAGAGCATAAAAATTGATCCAACAGCTGCTAAATGATGCAAAGACAACTAATTTAAGATTAATGAGAATTAGTGATAAATCAGAAGACAGAACAGTGTTTTAAAAACTTGTTTACAGAAATAATAACAGAAAAATTTCCAAATATGGGAAAAGAATTTAGCTTACAGATAAGTGAAGCATAGAATTATCGTAGTACAGTGATACACACACACACACACACACACACACACACCTATACTTATAAATTATCGTAACAGTGATACACACACACACACACACACACACACACACCTATACTTATAGCAGCACAATGTCCATCAACTGATAAAATGGGTGAATAAAATATGGTATTTATACACAATGGAGTACTACTCTGGTATAAAGCAGGATAAACTTTAGTCATCTGTAGGAAAATGGATGTACTTTGAGACCACAATATTAAGTGAAATAAACCAGACACAAAAAGTTAATATTGCATGGTTTCTCTTGTATGAAGAAGAGGAAGGAAAAGGCATGTAAAAAGGATCCAGATGCAATATGTGTGTATGCAATATGTGTGTACCAGTCCCCCACAATGAATGTATTTATTATGTGTTGCAAACATATACTAATAAAAATATATAAAATAAAAAAAAAGAATTCCTGTCTTGGGTCAGTTTTCTTGTTCAGCTAGAAAATATTTGCCATGTCTGAACACCAAGCAAGAGACAGCAGTCCTGTGCTGCCCCAATACTGAAGAAAAATGCTATCATTTAAGTTCTCTGACAGAATTTCTCTAATTAGGCATCCAGTTCTAGGGACCATGTGTCAGTCCTGCAACTGTGGGTTCCCTAGAAAATGGGCTTATTCTTGCTTCCTGACCCTAAAGCTCCTTTGTGAGATCCATCTCCAGAGCCACTCATACTTTTTTTTATCTTAGCCATAGTGGTTGATTCTGAGGCTTGCAGTGATTTTGTCAGCTAGGACCAGTAAGAGAAAGAATGCTGCCTATGAGACCATCAAACGACAGTGGGTCCTGACTATGATAGACTTGAGGATGTCAGCCATTGCTTTAGTAAAGAGTAAGAGAATACCCAAGTTTCTGAACTTCCTGGGAAAGTATTAAATATGCTAAAAGGTGATGAGAAATATTGCTACTAACGGTAGAGATGTTTTGGAGGTAAATACTTTTTTCATCGGGGCTGGACATAGTGGTCCATGCCTATAGTTCCTACTACTCAGACAGAGACTGAGGCAGAACACCTAAGTTAAGGAGTTTAAGACCAACGTGGGCAACACAGAGAAACTGCATTTTAAAAAAATATGTGCTTTTGCATGTGTGTGTGTGTGTGTGCGTGTGTATGTATACTTATGGTTTTGGGGTTCTTCTGGCAGTACTAGGGATTGAACTCAGGACCTTGCTCTTGCGAGGCAGGTGAAGTACACTGAGCTAAATCCCTGACTACATATACTTATGCCATCAGGCTTTAATGAATTTTGTTTTGCTGTTTTAGTTTTACCTTTCCTATATCAAATGCCCTTTCTTAGGCATTTCCAGTCTATGGAACAAAGCATTATGTCACAGCATGTCTACGTGACGCTGTCGCTGAATTTTGTACTTGTCTTCTTCCTCCAAACCCCAGAGTTAACTTAGATGAAACATAGACTCTGTTAACAAAGCATCTGACAGTCCTACAATGGCTGACTTCTAACTTTATGTTGTGTGACCCTACAGTATCTGCAAGTCATTTGTTTTCCAAAAACAAACAAAAATATAGAGGTGCATTTCTTTTAAAAAAAAAAAAAAGCAATGATAAGTAATGTTTAAGATAAACATCCACAGAGCTAGGACTGGGTTTGTTAACCATTTACCCATTGCCAGTGTTCCTTTGAATATAGGGCAATGGTGCCTAAAGAAGGAATAACAAAGAGGCCAATGTACATGATGTTGTTCGATACCCTGATTTAAAAAAAAACAAAAAAACTAGTCTACCAAGTGAAGAAAAGTCAAATTAGCAGCTCAGTATAGCACAGAAAGCTGCTACATGAGTCAAAGATACAAGTTGGTTGTAGAGGTGCAGGAAAAGATGTGATGGGATCGATTCCTTAAGAGAATGGCCTAGAAGGTAGAGAACCAACACACTTGGGCCTCAAAGAAGCAAAGACTAAAACAGCGACGAGCAGAAGGGCAGAACCCTACATTTAAAAGGTTACAGCCTGAGCCTCCCTACCTTAAAAATTGGAAATCGGAAATGCTCCAAAATCCAAAGCTTTTGAACACCAACAGGACACTACAAAAGGAAAACCAAACACGTGGGCTTACATCATGAGTTATAATCAAAATGCAAGTACAATAAAAACATTTTATAAGATTACCTTCAGGTAATGTGTATATGCTATATATGAAACAAATTAAACAAATTTTAGATTAGCCTTGGATCCTATCTCCAAGACATTTCATGTCCATGCAAAGATTCCAAAATCTGTAAAATCAGAAATCTGAAATACTCTAGTGCTAAGCCTTTCAGTGAGGGGTTACTCTATATTCCAAGTTAAAAATAGTATTGCTTTTAGCTGTAGTGATATCTTAGATCGTGTGAATCAAATGAACTGAACTCACTACCTAAATTACTTCATTTTTAGGTGTTTCAAATTGGTGTTGGCTGTGACCCTCAAAAATTTATTGGCGTTAAAGGGCAAGTAGTTTCACTTATTCTTTAAGTTGGAAAATAAATGATTCACTAAGTAATAATTACTAGTGATGACTACTGGTGCCTAATAACTGATATGTCCACCATGAAATCCAAAACTAAGTTGACACTGGTGTCCAGTTTCAATTGGTTTGAACTTATTGCAAATTCAAATACTACATTAAGCCATATTAAAAAGGAAGAGAATGAATCTTTAGTTCAGCATCTCTTTATTCTCCTTCCCATTTAATAAGCCAGTTTCCATCTTTCACCCATACTTCAGCTCTTCAGTCGACAGCACATTCTTGGAAAAATGAACGAATCCATTATCTCTCTGTTTGCCATCATATTCAGTCTTCATAATTTCATTCCCATTAGAAAAATGCTTTCACCCATATCAGAAAAGCCCCCACTGCCGGCACCGTTTTCTACGAGAGGGTTGCAAGATCCACTTGTAACAGAATAAGAAGGGGTTCCTTCAGAGAATCCATAGTGTGAATTTTGGTGGCCTGGTTATGGTGACTCACAGTGAGGCACACAGGATGGTGTGTCTTCAGTTTGCTACAGCTCTCGCTCCTCCATGTGGCAGAAAATCGAGGTGAACACACAAGTCTGACCGAAGTCAATGTACAGCGGAGGCAGGGGGATTCTTTGCTTTGGTTTAGGCGCGGGATGACAGCGGGTTAACCATGACTCTCATCTGATTATTTGGGAAACAGCTTGCTCTCACCCAAAACAAATGTCTACTCGTCCATCATCCCACTAGCCTTCTGATTATTAGAGTTGTAGTGATCACTTGCTGGACTGATCATTAAATATTCCCGTCTTGTTCAGCATTTCCTGGATTTGCACTTCCTAATACCTTTGCACCCATAATTCCTTTTCCGGGAAACACAAGATCTGACTTATGCAGCCTGCACCGTGGTTTATGTCTTTGATCCTCAGAGTGTGGTACTTGGACCCACACTGGCATCACCTGGGAACTTGTTAGAAATGCGGGAGCTCACATCTCCTTCAGACTGACAATCTTCATTTGAACAGTATTTCCAGTAAATTAGTAGGCACATTAAAATTTAAGGATAACTACTATAAGCAACAGGTTACCAAATCAATTTCTACTTCCATCACATGCAGAATTCCTTCCCAAACTCTTGATTTCCACCCACAGTGAGATGTAAAACAGCTCTGAACTAATCTATTTCTTGGTCCAGATTATCCAGCACGGTAGTTCCTCGGGATCACTTGGAGAGGCAGGAACAGCGATGCCTGGTTTCAATCCTAGCTTTTAGGGAGTCTAAAGCAGAATCATTGCAAGTTAAGAGTCCCTCAGGACAACTTAGTGAGACCCTACTTAAAAATTTAAAAAGGAAAAAGGGACTGAGAATGTAGCTCTGTGGTACAGTAGCCCTGGGTTCAATCCCCAGTACTGAAAAAGAAAAATCACCCAGAGTGTGTGCTACAAAAAATAGACTTCAAGGCCTTACTCTGGATCTCTTAGTCAATAATCTAAAAACAACTCTAGTGTCTTGGGCTGAGGTTGCAGAGGGTTTAAGGTTCTCACAGCTACCAAGGGACACCAGGGAGAATCTGGGAGAGCCAGGCTGAGGGGCTATGAAGGAAAGCATCATTTGGGGTCCAATCTGGATTCAGGGAGGGCAGTGATGTAGACCTCCACTGTGTATTTAGAAGGATGGTGACAAGGGTTCTAAGTTACACCGGAAACGGCCAGCTCTAACCATCAAATGAATAATTCACAAAAAGCACTATCATTCATAAACCATTATAATCTTCTGTCTACATGAGTCCTATGTAGAAATTATGTGACTCAAAGTACACATAATATAAAGGACAAAATAAAAGATAGATAATAGGAAACAAAGAGATGGATCTTTCACAAGTGGAAGGGGGATCTAGGATGGAGGGAGGGAGAGGAAGGAAGGGAAAGTACAAAGAATTAAGATATGCTGTGCATGTGTATGAACGCCCAGAAATGAATGCAAAGACTATCTACTGCAGAAATGTACTAATAAACCCTCAAAATAGTTTCTTATCTGCATAATGGAGTCTCTAATTTTGTGTTTTAAACCAAAGTTTATGTTGTAAAATAAACAGTCCGAACTAATTTGTCTTTGTTACATTTTCCATAAATTCATTTTTATTTGTATGCATATGATTTAGCATCGTCCTTCTTCCCATTTTTTGTGGTTCTAGGAATTGAACCCAGGGCCATGCACATGCTAAGCAGCTAAGCAAGTGTCCTACTCCTGAGCTACATTCTTTTTTAATTTTAAGACAAGAGCTTTGGTAAGGTGCCCAGGCTGGACTGGAACTTGCAATCCTCCTGCCTCCACTTCCCAAAGAGCTGGGATTCGAGGCATGCACCACCATCCCTGGCTTGAGTAACATTTTTATTGTGATAAAACTCTGATGGTGCGTGAAATTTGTCATTTTAACTATCTTTAAATGTACAGTTCACTAGAATTAAGTACTTTCATAATGTTGCACACGTAGTGTCATTACCCAGTTCCAAAACATTTTCATCACTCCAAGAGGTAACTGTACTAGTAAGCAGGCACTCCCTTGGTCCCCTTCCCACCAACACCCAGTGACCATCAATCTCCTGTCTTTGTGGATTTTCCTAATCTGGACATTTCCTATAAATGCATGTGATACGTAAGATTTTGTGCCTGGCTCATGAGCACATTTTTGAGGCTCACTGGTTTGGCAAATCTTGTTATTACTACTTCATTCCCTTTTCTAGCTGAGCAACATTTCATTGCATGGCTATGCCATATTTGATCCATTCATCGGTTCGTGAATATTTGGAATCTTTTACCTTTGGGTTTTTGCAAATACTGCTATGAATATTTGTGTACAACATTTTGTTTTGTTTGAGCGTCTGTTTCAATTATTCATTCTGAGTTTGTACTTAAGGGTAGAATTTTTCGGCCGGGGATTTAGCTCAGTGGTGCCACCACCTGCCACACAGCACAAGGTCCGAGTTTGATCCCCGGTACAAAAAAAAAAAAAAAAAAAAGAATTTTTCACTGAATCACATGATAATCCTATGTTTAATTTATTTTTGAGAAAGTACCAAACTATTCTCCACAATGGCTGCACAATATTACATTGGTAATAGAAATGTAAGACGTTCCAATTTTTCTGCATCCTCTCCAAAACTTTTTCTTTTCTATTTTGGGTTTTTCTGTTCTTCTTTTTATTAGGCACAGAAAATTACATGTACTTACTGTGTACAACATACTATTTAAAGTCATTATACAATGAATAAATCTAGCAAGTTAACATACACATATTTATCATTTTGCAGTGAGAATACCCTCATTTTCCTAGCAGTTTTCAAGAATACAATATAGTATTAACTATAGCTGTCACATTGTACAATATCTCTCTTAAATTTTTTTCCTCTTATCTAACTGAAATTTTGTATAGTTTGACCAGCTCCTCCCCCACACACACTATTTTCCATAAAATGGGGGGAGAGTTAAGAAAGGCTTTCAGTTAAGAAAGGCTGGCCTCAATTTTGTGATCCTCCTTCCTCGGCTTCCCAGGTGCTGGGATAACAGACATGAATCACCATATCCAGCCTCATTTCCTACAATTTTTTAATAAACATGCACAAAATATAATATAATCAATAGTTTCAAAGTACAGTGTCTACAGAAACATTTGTTAAAGTTGGTTTTTAAAAGTAGAAATGCTAGGACTACAAAGTAACCCTACAGATTCTAATTCAGTAAATAATGATTCTGTGTCACTCTCCAGTTTGGGAATAACTGAACTAAATGATTAAATGTTTGTGCAGATACCTAAGAAATGATGCTACAACTTCATTGTTTTATTTTTCTAGATTTAGTAAAACAGCATGTGTTCACCACGAATTTTTTTACGAGATCGACAAGTAAGTTATTTTTTAATATAAGCACTAAGCTTTATATTAATGTAATAATATTAATAGTTCAATTTACAATTAATTTATTAATTTACAACCAGTACTTATTTATTGAATTCCTGTTGGCATCCATGTGTTTGGTATTTGCACACATCCTATTTATTTCAGTTAAGAAATAAATGGCTAAATGGATGTCTCAATGTGAATCCATTTAGCTATAAAGGTCTCTATTTTCTCATTCTTTGTGGCTGAGTAGTACTCCATTTTATTAAAAAAATTTTTTCCTCATCCAGTCTCCTGTTGATGGGCAATTGGGCTGCTTTCCAAATATTAGCTATCACGAATTGTGCTGCTATGAACATGGGTGCGCATATATCACTGTGGTATGATTTTTTTACTTCTTTGGGAAAGATATCCAGCAGGGGGATAGCTGGCTCAAATGGGACCTCCAATCCTAGTTCTTTGAGGTATTTCCATACTGATTTCCACAGTGGTTGCACCAGTCTGCACTCCCACCAGCAGTGGAGCAGGGTTCCTCTCTCCCCACAGCCCCGCCGGCATTTGTTATTGGTTGGCTTCATGACAGCAGCCATTCTTTCTGGGGTGAAAAACACACATCTATTTAAAACACACACACTGATTCTGAGCACCTCGCTCTTTCATCTATCTATAGTCTGGGAAGAACTGCATTGAAAAAGCACAAGGAATATGGGCTTTATAATCATGCATCTTTTTTAGGAGTAAAGCAAGGTTTGCTGCCTTGAAAAGTCTCATATGATTTCTGAGAATGGTGCCATACTGCCTTAGCGGAGGACAGTGATTTGTACATTGTTGGTTATTGTAAGAAAGTGTTAACATGTATGGAAATATGAGGAAAATGCCTGAAACATTTTAAGCACTCAATAGTTAATCATGTTCATGTATTTGACGTTTCTTCTACCTCCTTAAACAAAGTCTTGGTCTTAGCTTTTAAGTTTGAAAAGAGGAAAAAATAAATAATTAAGAATATCTTTTTTTAGGTCACATTTGAGACATAAACCACTTGAAAACCTGGTAAGAAAATTGTAATTTTTGTCAGTGGGACAAATATATATATAATAACTAAAAAAAAAAACCCACACTTTTCTTTTTCTAGAAAGTAAGGTATGACTGGGAAAAATATGGCTGCCCACTGAGACTTAATGGCCACGAAAAGTTTCAACCTTTGATTCAATTGTAAGTGTATTACGGTTAAAATTTTAACTTATTTTAGAAATTTCATAAAAGCATGAGAGACTACTCATGCATAAAATCATAAAACAATGCTACTCATGCATTTAGTAATAACTGTTTTTGAGTATTCAGTATATTCAAGTAGTAATTATGTGAAGTTGGGCAAATAGAGTCTGTGCATGTTGGTGTGAGTAAGAGAACCAGAAGCTTTCTTAGGAGTGTAGCAGCCTTCCTTTATCCTGCTTAGGTATCTCCCCAGGCTCCTGTGTGAATCCCTGCCTCTTCGATAGGAACTACCTTACTAGGGTGACAAGACTGCTCTTCACAAGAGCCTGTAATAATGAAAGCTTTTTTGGAAAGAAATTTGATTGCTAATAAGTACATTGAAAGGACATCAAAAACATCATCCCTAATTTAATTCCTATAAATGAGAGCTCATGATAAAAACTTGAATAAAATACTACAAGGGAGGTCTTGTTTTGTTTTTTTTCTCAGTAATTCTGTATTTGTCTGCTTCCCTTGGTGACTGGTCACACAAAGTGTCTTACTGTAGCCAAAGAAATTGCCGCTGCTCTAGAGGCAACTGCCATTTGGTTTAAAGGATTTTTATCTATTAGGCCATGATCCTAGAATTTAAGGTAAACTGAGAGAAAGAGCAATTCACAAAAGGACAGGTTAGAAGACATGCAAAACGGAGTCAGCTGGATTAATAACTGGGTCTGTCCTGTGTTTGAAGTAGGAATACAGTAGATATGAAAGATCATGCCTGACAGCCTCAGCTTACATGAAATAGGAGAAGGGGCCAGTGCCGAACTGACAGGGACGGGGCAGGGATGGTGAGAAAGACTTCAAAGGTCCCTGGGGATAACACGAGTCAGGGCTGATTAAGGCCGCGTGAGAAGGCAAAGCTTAGGTAAGGTAACACGCCATGAATGGGTCCCATCCCCACAGATGCTGACTTCCTGAAGGACTTAGTGGCAGCCAAGGTTTGGGTCGGTGTTGAACACAGGTGAAGAAAGCGTGACTGAATGCAGAGTGCTAGCTATGGAGGAAGGTAGAAGACCAACAAGGAGATCGGGCAGAGTATGGAGTGACTCTAGGAGGAGACTACTGTGCAGAAAGCAAGGTGGAGCTGGGAGGCTGGAAATCTGTGCGATCAAGGGACAGACGAGAAGACGTGGAAGACGGACGAGGTTAACACAGAGGAGACTCTTGCATCAGCACTCTTTTCTCAAAGTAACTTCTTTGCATCTTTGCTACCAGGAATCACTTGATAAAACCTTTTGCCTCTAATTCTCCTGGGATAATCAACCAAATATTAGAGGCCAACTACAGAGGAAAAGTCAGATCAACAAGACTCAGTGTCTAGTTCAATTTTATCATTCCAAAACACAGTTGACATCCGGGCATTCGATCACGTGTTCATCACGTGTGGATCTGCGTGCTAATAAATTAGTGTGGCAAATCAGGCAGACTTTGATTAAGCTCTGAGAATCAGTGGACACTGGGCAGTTACTAGTCCATCCTGTAGGTCTCTGGATTACAATAAATGCCCTACTGTATAGGAAATGGCTCACAAATAAGGTTGGGCAGAGTCTTACAGGTCAAAGGATGACAAGTTCAACATCGAATGTTAATAAGCATGAGTAGAAGGCACCCAGGCAGAATCGTACTTCCAGCACATAAAGGAGGCGGTCAGGGTATGAGGTATACATTGCTTGGTTTGCATATTAAAGGGGGTCCGGGAAAGTTACAAATTGGCCAGCCTTGGGTACTTCCTCCAAAGGCAAGGCCTCAGATATTAAATATTCAAACACAGGAAATGAAATATATGGTTAATACAATAGACTGTCCACAAAGTTGGAGTCTAATGAATCTGTAAGTCAACAGAGAAGTCTCTTCAGTTTCAAAAGTAGGGCCTCGGTAGCGGAGACGTTATCAATTGTTGGGAAGTTAGTTGCCAACTAGTGATATTTCTGATTTTCTCGGGCTTAATTAGTATTCTATTCTACTCTAGTGAACATTGACGAAAATAATTATGTAATGCTTACATAGGCAACTGTTTCTGTCACACATTCTCAATGAAATAAATAAAACATTGTCAAAGACAATTACAAATCCAGAAATTATGGTTTATGCAACACACACTTATTGCCACTAGATGGCACTGTAGATTATTGCTCTTCTGAGAGTCAAAATTCCAGCCCACATAGTATAATTAAGATTTTTAAAATTAACACATATGGCTTTGCAATCATTCTTAATAATTCAAGAACCTCATGACTTTCAACACATGCAATCAAAATTCTGCTCCTTCCAAAGCTGCTAGTATTGAACCAAATCTCTAAAATAGACTATGTAAGATTGTGTGTGTGTGTGTGTGTGTGTGTGTGTGT